GAGAGGAAGGGCGCATGGGTGGGAACTCGCACGGCGGAAAGGTGAGTGGCACGGGGGGAAACAGGTCGAGAGGAAGGGCGCATGGGCGGGAACTCGCACGGCGGAAAGGTGAGCGGCACGGGGGGAAACAGGTCGAGATCAGGGGGGGACGACACCGACGAAGAAGGGGGAGATGATGACGACGAGGAGGGGGAAGGAGAAATTGATGACGAGGATGGTGAAGGAGAAGAGGAAGAGAAAGAAGAAGAAGAAGAAGAAGAAGAAGAAGAAGAAGAAGAAGAAGAAGAAGAGAAGATAAAAAAAAATAGATTTAATGGGCACTTACCTCCACGTCGGCGTCGGGTAGGAAGGGCGCATGGGGGGGAAGTCGCGCGGCGGAAAGGTGAGCGACGTGGGGGGAAGCGGGTCGAGATCAGGGGGGCGCGACCACGACGAAGAAGAAGAAGAGGAAGAAGAAGGCGGAGGTGATGACGATGAGGAGGGGGAAAGAGAAAATGATGACGACGATGGTGAAGAAGAAGAAGAAGAAGAAGAAGAAGAAGAAGAAGGAGAAACGAGGGGGAGAAGAAAGAAGAGAAATAAAATATAGATTTAATGGGCACTTACCTTCACGTCGGCGTCAGGATCGGTTACATGGCAGCTGCGACGATGAAGGCAGCGAGGTGCTGACGTGCCAGCGACAACGAAGACAACGGCGATGACGATATCAGGACAACGACGATGATGACGTGGCAGTGTCGCCGAAAACCGTGACGATGATGACGATGTTGATGGGGTTGCGGCGCCCGAGCAGGGAGGGAGGGTGGGCCGTTTGCCGCTCCGATACCAGTGTGACGGGGCTGAGGCAGAGCAGAGAGGCTGGGAGAGAGAGGGAGAGTGAGAGTACACACACAAACTCACTCAACTCGTCGCAGACTCGACATGACTCGACGGACGCATACACAAAGTGGCAAAGTCGCAAACTCGACAATCTTGGATTCCGAACACAATGTCGCAGCAAGTCACACTGAAGCACAAGCACTGAGGCCGAAAACTGAATGCCCGAACTGGGCTCGAGTCCGGTCGTAAGTACCGGACTCAAGTTGAATCCCGAGGGCAGAAGTGCAATTTGCCTCGGGGCTGAACTCAAAATTGAAGGTCTGAGCCTGGGCGCCGGAATGCTGGATGGCGTCAAGTATCGAAATCCGAAAATGCCAGAGGAGGAATTAGAGAGCGGGCGTCAAGTGCAGAGGGCGCCAACAGTCAGGAACCGGAGATCAGGAACTCAAAAATAAAAATAGCAGTCTGGCGGGTGGTAACCCGCGGACCAGGGATCGAGCCCTGGCTAAGTCCGTAACACATCTTCTCTACCCTTCTTTGCCTTTTCCCTGCCCCTAAAATCATCCGACTTCCTCTCTTGCCATTTTGTCTCCAAGCTTTTCACCTCCAACCTCCCTAGTAACGGCGAAGTTGATGCTGTCTGGGTCGCTGCAGAGGGGAAATCTGTCTCTTGACATGATTCTCCTATGCCCGGTTCATCAGGGGCATATGCTTTGATGTCTTTAGAGTTCTGCTGTCATTTTTCTTTTACTGTCTATATGCATTGCAATTATTTGTTTTCAATGTATCTCAATCCTGTTTTCTTTTCTCGTTTACGATTCTGATGATTCCATTCACTGGTTTGTGTTCTCGCTCTCCTTGATTTCCTAATGTTGGGGAGTTTTGTTCTCTCTGTTTCAGGTCATGGAATTCCTCAATGGGGTCTCAGTTAAGATTGGACCCTTGGCGCAAAAGGAGCTGGAGCGATTGAAGGAGTTGAAGGTGAGATAAAGTGATACTAAAGCCGTTCAGTTGTGCCTCTCTGATGCCTTCTTCGACTTTACTTTTTCACTGAAATACATCAGAAGTTGAGGACTTTCTCAAGCCAGCAGGTGAATATTCAAAGTTCTTATCTGGGTATGTAGTATGTACCTATGCGCTGCGGCGTCCCTATGGTCAATGCACATCCTTAGTGTTCCCCTCTTCTTGGGCACAGACACTACTGGGTTGTGCCCCCATAAGGAGAGGTACTTGGCCTAATTCAGCCCTTGTCAGGCAGGTCCTTTGAGCTGTTTCCTGAGTGGGTTAGTTTGGCACGTGACCCGGGATGATCTCTATCACATGAACTCTAGTTCTCTCTATGATTCCTGCAGGCTTCTCCCACAAGTCTGCATACCTAGTGACATTCTGTCCTCGGCCTGCCTCTTTGAAGACACAAGGCAAGATACATTCTCCGCTCTAGATTCTGCTTGTAGTAATTCTTGAAATCCGCTGCACACAGACATCCATAGGACCCCTTTCTGGCTTGAGGTAAACATTTCTTAACAAGTACAGTCCTCTTATCAGGAAATCGAGAAACCAGGGTCGTATTACCCTTCTCTATGTGAGTAGAATATACCAATGATCACGTCAATGTTTGTCGCTAGTGAGAAATGACTTGTGTCTAATCTCTCCCCACGGATGGGTGAAGGTGCATACCACCTCCTTGATGCGGTCTTCCATCTTAATACTCGTCATGCCATCAACCAAGGTGGAACACTACAGGTCTACTCAGCTTCTGAACACGGCCCTGTTGTGATTCTGGTTGTTTGTTGCCTGAAGGCCAACACTCACTCACAGAGACTTCCAGGTATGCCCATACATACACAGAAGGAAGGGAAGAGGATAGGAGTATCACACCGCACAGGGAGAGATAACACAGCGGAAGACTTAACCATGCGATATGACAGGGTACACTGAAAGTGCAATTCACTCCACTCAGTCCTCACAACCAGTCATAGAGAAAAGCCGAGCAGATCACATCCAGGAAACAATGAAATGATGATAGTCCAAACCCAGTGATACACTGTTTATTAAACTCAGAGTCTCGAATTGTCAGGATAACTTCAGAACTATAGTGCGCTGCTCAGAAATGGGCAGCGCTTCACTCCCCAATCCTGATTAGCACCCGTAAGACCCCCGAGCCCCTGAAACATCAAGCGCCACCCAGATACAGCCTCCTGCGGGAAGCACCACCCTGAAACAGGCCTCTGAGGCCAAGCGCCACTCAGAGGATGGAGAAGGAGACCAGCGCCACAGTATCTGATGATGACGAAGTGTCGGATGACTTCCCGGGTGGAAGTCTGCAGCAGCGCCACCAAACCCTGACAAGATGACCTCTGAGGAAGAAGCTGCAGCTATGGCTGCAGCGACACCACCCTTGAACCCCACTCCGGAGGAGGGTCCAGCAGGGCACCAAACTCTCTCGCCTCCAGCAGACCTCGATAGCCCAGACCTCTGTTAGCCCCTGCGTGCTGGCAGAGTACAGCGCAGGTTCCAGCTATGGCCAGCACTTGGAAGGTCTGACTATGCCCGTCTCCTTCCACGCTGAGCCGTCACCACTTCCGGTTCACGCGTGGCGCAGCAGCGATGTACTCGGTACCGACTGCCAAAAGCCCTCAACCGATGTGCCCATCCTATCAATACTACACTAGCCTAGACTCGACCTAGACTGGACTGACTGACCGACCGGTACCGTTTCTGTTTCGGCCTCTCGGCCTCTACCGGACCCGGCTATAGGCTATAGGACCGTCTATCAGATTAGGCCCTCAGGGCCTGTCTGTCCTAGGGGTAGCCCGGGCCTGCTATTCGCAGTTAGGGTAGCTGTAGGGAATTCTGTTAGTACCAGGACTGCATATTTCCCGAATTTGCACATATGTCCCTCACAAATTCCCCTCACAGGTAGGTCTCTCGGTTAGTCCTCAGCCAAACAAAATTACGAATCTGTCCTACCTATAGTACAGCCTCGACAGAGAGAGGCTACAGGCGACCAGAAAACAGCAAGTCATTGCAGCCCTCTAGATGCAGCCTCTCCAGCCTAGCACGACTAGTGTAACTGCGTGTTGATCCTGTCTCAGCAAGGGCTCCTGATTAATCTCATCTACCCCTACTTCAACCTCGACCAAGTCACCCTGCTTACGGTCGATTATGGCTACCCAGGAAGCTATGAATTTCTCTGCGAAGGACTCAGTCAGAGCATCTCGTGGTCTGGCTTTGACTGCGCAGTCGCTGTAGCGTCAGTAGCGTGAGCCATAATTGTCGGAGAGGGCAAAGGAGGATTCTTAGCACAACCGGGACTGACTCTCCTCTCTCTGTAGACTGTGTAAACGAGGCTGCTCCTTCTACTCGCTCATTAGGTTTCCTGCACTCTGCTCGTTGCTCGGGCATTGGTCCTCAACGTGTCTAGCAGTCTACCAGAACATTTTGCATTTCTGTCCCTTGGACATTTTTACTGGTACTCTTCTGGTACCAACGAATCTGTGCATATAAAAAGGCCTTTATGATTCAGAGCCCTAAATGTGACCCCAACATAAAAGGGACCCTGTCGGCCAGGACTCAATTTCACGAGCAGCATTCCAAAGGAGAAATTTTCTGAAGCAAATGTCGCATCCAGAATGAAATGAAAAGTCGTTTTGAAAAGTCACAGTTAGGTCCTAGATGAACAGGTATTGGGCTCAGTTTTAAGTCTGAGACAGGGTCATGTCTGTTCGGCAATAAGTCAAAGGTCACAGTCCCAGACGAGTCACAGTCCCGAAGGTCAAATATGATTCAGACCAGGAGTCCAAAAGGCAGGCCTGTCGGCCAAAGCAGCAGCAGACCATGGGAAAGGATACTGGGACACACACTTTGCAACAACAGGTACTGGGTTGGAGTCCCAGGTACTTGGAGGCTGGATGCAGACCACGCCAGACCAGTCCAGCACTATAAAGGACTAGCCAGCCTCCCATTTGACAGGAACTCGTTCACATGAGAATGTGGAAGTGCTGAGGCACTTGTGCGCCAGATGTGATTGAGCTGCACCAGGCTTGAGAGCTGCGCTGGAGAGAGAGAGAGAGAGAGTTGGGCGCTGGCTGGAAGAAGAGCAGCCATATCTGCGCCAGTGCCAGTTAGTATTAGTGGTAGGAATAGTTAGTAGAGAAGACCAGTGAGTAGTATTCAGAGTAGATCCTCGTGTGACAGGGAGTGAGCATGCATGGTGAGTGTGAGTAGACCAGGGCTAAAGACATTGAGAGAGAGAGAGAGAGAACAGAAGAAGAGAAGGGAGAGAAGTGAGCTATGGTGGAACTTACCTGCTGAGCGCTGTCCTTGATGATTGGCTGCTGGCGCTGATGAGCGGCAGGCCTGGAACTCTTGTTGGATGAAGAAACTTGTAATACTGTTGGGCGCTTTACATTTTGAACTTGTGATTCTCTTTCCTTAATCTCGTTGTCATAATTGAGGTGCGCTTCCTGGTTTCCAAATCTGTGAGATCTATGTCACATGCATGTTATATGATACACTCCAGCAAGTGACGAATGGACAGGTTCCTTGCACATACCCTGAGGCCAGCCTAGCCGTTAGGCTGTTCCCAGGTATATGTACCAGTCTCACACCGGGGTGAGACATCTCTTGCTGTACTGAGTTTTCAGACATTGAGTGTGAGTTCGGCATTGAGTTGCCGCTGGTACTCTTCTCTGAGCGTCCTCATGGTACCAGTCGTGTTCTGCGTCCGAGTCTGGTCATGTGTGTGAGTGTTTACTGTCTCTCACCCTTCCTCCTCCTCCTCCTCGAACCCAGTGCTCGTCACAATTTACCCGTATAATGCCAACCATACCAGACATTCTTAGGTAACCCTAACTTCATCGTCTACTGCAATCAACTCTTCCTTTGGACCTTCTGCCACTGTTACCAAAGATGCCAAGAGATCTTTCTTTGACCAGTCTCCTTCTGCCTCTTCTAAGGACTTGTCACATTGCAAGAACGAAGAATCTCCTGGTCAGACTGTGATTGTGGGGTAAACTGAAGGTCAGGGGCCGCTGCCATTACTGCCTGAGAGGTTGATGGAGGACTTCCTATCCCACGCAGGGATCTCTCTCCTACCTCTACAAACGGAGTAGAAAGGGTTCTCATTCTGCTGGTTTGTTTGGTTTACCTCAAGGCATTGGTTCTTAATATGCCCATTCTGCCAACATTTTGTGGAGGCACCCCACCAATACCTTTGCGTCCAAACCTTCTTATCTAGCCATTCCGTAATCCAATCTGGCACCCTCTTTGATTGGAGGATAAGAGTCCTTTCCTTGACCTTGTGTTGATGCCTTTGAAAAACCAATTTCCTTAGCCTTCCAGATGGTGGCTACTCCCTCTTGAGCTACCTCTTGATGACTTTGTGCTTGGACACCAAAAGTGCAAGGAAGCATTCTATGAGAAGAGGAAATTTTCGAGGTGCAAAAGCTCACAGAACACCAATCATGAATAAGCTGAGTCGAACGCACACCAAATTCATGAATAAGCTGAGTTGAAAGCACTCCAAATTCAGAACACTGGAGAACAAATTGCAGTTATTTGTCCAGGCCACCCTGATAGCCTATGTACCAGCCCAGTGCCTATTTGTCCAGGCCACCCTGATAGCCTATGTACCAGCCCAGTGCCCATCTAGAAGTACAGCGCCCGTGCTCCCTGAGGGGAGAGAAGTTCGACCAGCAACCTTGAAGAATATGAACTCGCTCTTGAGGAGGAACCGCAGATACGGCTGCCACTTGGAAGAAGATGGCAGTGGCAGCGCTCCAACCCCAAACATTCACCAAGTGAGGAAGCGCCAACAGCGCTCAGGGCCTGTATCCCACCGCTGCCTTCTATGGAGCGGACAGGCCCCAGCTATGGCCTCTAGCTCCGTGGAAGATGAAGAACTGCTGCACTCTGTCTGCTCCACCCGATCCCATTCCGACCTCAATCCGTGAAATTGTCTCACGCCATTTGTACCATGG